GCGATAGTTCCTGAAGCATAGATCTTAAGTGCCACCATATATTGTGGAATTCTTTGTACGAATCCTCCCAAGTTTTTTATACTCGTTCAACATCCTTAGTCCTTTATATCCATGCTTTCCTGTATCAGAGAGTATAATTTTTTTGTTTAACGATATGGGAGGTTATTATACTCACCTTCAATGACACATCCTAGCTAACAAGCGGCAACATTTCTTGACATATTATCTGAGAGCTTAGTTTACGGTTATCCTACATCAGATTGCTGGTCATGCAACTGTGAGGTGGATCCATAGAACTTATCTCCAAATAATCACCTCTCTTCCTATAAGGTGCTGCTACCGGAACATATAGAGTAAGTTACGAAATAGAATGATGTACCTCATCATGTTAGTGCAATCTATGGTATAATCAATAGAGTTTTCCATGTGAAACTTTTGTATATCTTTCACACAGCTTTCTTTTGTACGCAACATGTCTCGAACTTGTAACACTCCTTTTGTCTACATATACGGGTTGCAAAAGTTATATGAGGATGACTCGTCTTCATTCAAGTCCAAGTTTTTCATATGCTCAGGTGGAAAATACACATGGCTTAAACGTAAAGGCTATTTCTCGTGGTCTATAGAGTCATCGTTCACAATATAATCAACTTGTGTCTCAGATTCTTCTTCTTCATCATTAACAACATCGACTTCATTTTGATCATCATCGTCAGTTTGATCAAATGATTATGAGTTTATGTCTAATCAACAATCTGAGAATGTTAAAGTTGTTATAGTAAAATATACAATTCAATATTGTTGAAACCATAATGTTCATGACTACAAAACATATTTTGAACATCTTCATCGTCTTGACCTTTTAGCTGAAATATTTGACTTGGTTGTTGTAAACAAATAGATTTTTGTACATAATTTAACTTACTGTATATTATAAATAACTATAAATAATTTATTTTCACTCTTTTGGTTTAGGTGGTCCCCTCGAGGGATGAACTACAACGAATGTCCTAAACATTGTATAACGGTCTATCAAAATCTTTTAGACCACCTTGGACTAGGCAATGTATGACAACTAAACTAATCATATCTCGATAGTTTAGTTTTAATGTCAACCATTTACTAATCTAATAATATTTTTCCTCAATAGTTTATTTGGAGGCCATATATGGGTCTGAACCATGAAATTAACCCTGAAGATGCTACATTTTGGACTGCAAAAAGAACGATTATCAGGTTCACTAATATGGAGATGCACCATAATGACCATGTCAAATTACAGTTCGACATGCATCAATAAATTCCAGATTCCCCAATGTGTTTGGGACAATGGCATCAACTTAAAGTCGACGCCCAATGAAATTTTAACGATTAGAGAGACTTTGCTAAGGATGTGTGTCATTTGTGGAAGCGTTGTCATCAATGGGTCATGAATGAGGTTGTCATGCCATACAAATCATAAACGAGGATGTCACACTATTATCAATTGGTATAGATCGGCTTATAACAACTTAGTTTGCGTCTGACCCAAGGTATTGATTGACCCACACATACGAGCTTCGTTGTCAAACACCCAACATGATTACCAACACATATACACCTAACAACCAACCCAACAAAATTGTCAACCCACCTACACCCAACAATCAACCAAACATGATTACCAACACACCTACATCTAACAACCAATCCAACAACATTACCAAATCACATACACTAAACAACCAACCAAACATGATTACCAAACAACATACACCCAAACCTGCGACAAATTCATGCCGCACACCCAAACACAAAATAAAGAACATGACCCATACCACCAAAAAAAACATGTACCACCACTACCACATCTTAACATATAACTTATGAGGCATGTGATATCATCACATCCTTCCATAACATCCAACAAACATACACCTAAGCGTCACACCCCTAAAGCACCCAAACATCACGCAACCAAAACACATAACTAACACATGCCTACCAAACATCACAATAACCATTGCTTCGTTTCCAAAATGAATCAATGTACAAATTCAACTGACCAGTTCGTCCATCCGTAACCTAACCAACACGACCAAACTACGACGAAATATGCACCAAACTCGATTACAACGATAGTTGAGAAGAGACGATAGCTTTCATGGATAACCCTAATATCTTAGGGACCTCGCACCAAACACCTCAAGTGAATCTTGGGAAGCACCAAACACCTATGGAAAATGAGAGGCCTCAATGGAAAATAGTAGCGTTAAGATGTGAAACCTGTGACCGTTATGATAAAGCGGGTCGTTAAAATATGTTTATAAATTTTTTTTACATGTACTTCTATTTAAATTAAATAGTATTAGTATATATATATATATATATATATATATATATATATATATATATATATATATATATATATATATATATATATATATATATATATATATATAAATTTAATTCAAAAAATAAAAAAATCTATTACACACTGGCGACAAATCTAATGTCACCTCCTCTTTGGCTAATAACGCACGCATAAGTGAGATAAACGCTTATGTGTTTTTTAAGTGTATGTGCCACCAATGACGTTTTTTCTTTGTAAGATTTTTTTTATTTAACTTTAAAAAAAAATTATTGTAGTATTTAATTTGTAAACATCGTTATTTTAAAAAAAAATATTCTAAAAGCTTTTTACTATGTTAAAATTTTTTCTTCAACTTTATTCATAAATAAAAGACTATTGTTTGACATATTAAGAAATTAGGGGTTAAAACTCGATGACATATAAAGTATTTTAAAAAAATAAAAAACAAATGTCAAGATAAAAAAGTAATATAAATAAATGAGACGAATTTTTTCTTTATAAAATTGTACTCATTAAAATAATTAAATTTTATAAAAATTTCATTTATATTATAATTAAATGTGTTTGTGATTCTTTTAAATATCTTAAATCTTATTTTTAATTCTTTAAAACATTTTCTTTAAGCAAAGTCTTTCTAAAAATTTCCATTAACAATTTTTTTCTTTTCTGCAACTTAACGACAATTTTTATAATTTAAAAAATGACGATTTTATTATTTAACAATAATTTTAACAACGCTTTTAATATTAGTAAACAAAACGTTTTAGTAGAATCATTTTTTGAAAGAAATATTTTAATAAATTAAAAATAAAATTAAAAATATTTAAGAGGACTATAAAAATATTAAACTCTTTATATTATTATATTAAATTTCTATCTCAACTATACTATACTATTTCTGATTTTAATTATAATTATAAAATATTTTTGAATTTTTTTTATAAAATTCTCTTCAACTTTTAAAATGCAAATATATATATATATAATTAATTTTATAATATATTTGTCTCAATCATAATAAATACTTTTGTATAAACATTAGTTATTTTCTTTACTAAAGATAAATTTGTAAAAAACATAAAAAAATTAATAAATCTAATATTCCAATTAAGTTTTAATTAAAGTAATTTATTCTACCAAATCTTATATTTAAGAATAGAGATAATACTTTAAACAAAAACATATTAATCAACTCAAAATGTTAAAATATATATACAAAAAACACCTCAAATTAAATACTACTAAAACAGAAAAAGATGAATCTGACAACAAGATCACACCATTCAAATTAATAAAATAAAACAATATATTTTTTTTTAATTTTGCATCTGTATATGGTATTGAACTGAAAATTATATCTCAATTTTGTTTATTAATTTAATGATCAATAGTATTAAATAATTAATTGTTGAAAAAAGAGTGTGATGACAAAAATTTTAATTTTAATTGTCACATAAATCATCTTCACAGACAAATGAGTAGACAATATCTCCCGAAAACAATGAACAAGACTGAAAGATCAATAATTTGCAGTCTCTTAACTATGAATTTATAAAACCAAAAAATAAAAAAGTTAATTTAAGAGTAATTAATGTTTTTAGAAAATAAAGTATTAAGATTAAGATTAATAAATGAAGTAAAATATTGGAATAAAAAAAAGTATTAGTAGGTATTAATTAATTAATCTCGAAATAAAAAAAACAATATGTTGCTTGGTTTGGTGGTTTTTGCTGGACAAGACAACCTACCAGTTGTTGCAGTACCTGTTTTTGTTTTTTAAGAGAGAGAAACTTTTATACTTCTTCTTATTTTCATTTCTAGAGAGAGAAACTACTTCAACTCTCATCTCAACTCTCAACTCAACTCTCAACTCTCAACACCAACAACTAACTAGTGAGAGAAACTATGGGATCTCAATCTTTCATTTGATTTCAATCTTCAATCTCTTCAGGTTTCTCATTTTCATTATCTTCTTCATAAACTCTCTTCCTTTTCTATAGATCTTCTCTCATTGCATTTATATTCATCAAATCAACTTACCCTTTTGAAAAAATTTCATTTTTTTATTCTTCTTGACTGTTTAGCAGATTATGGCTTTTGGTCTTCTTGTTTTGTACATTGTAATTTGTATTAACATTTTGATTTTTTTTTTAGTTTTTTTTTTTTACCCAATAATGATATATGAATGGATCTCTTAACAAGTTTGCATTTTGAAGAAGATCCATCACTTCAAAAAATTTCTTTCCTTTAGATCTATTAAGTTCTAACCATGTCTTTAATTTTGCTTTGGATGGTGAAATATCACTATCTTTTCATTTTTCTTCATTGTTACTTAATTATAGTTTTAAGGGTTTCTTTAAACACACTTAATAGTTATAAACATTAGATTTTGTTTTTATGTTTAAGTTTAAGTAAACTTTGAATTATTCTACTTGTATTAGTTATGGATTTGTTTTTATGTTGTATCTTCAATTATAATTTATATTCTTTTGTATTTTTGTGTTTGATAAACCTAAATTAAATAATTAAATAATTAAGTAACTCTTTGATGTTTAATCAAATCCAGCATTGAGATTCTCATAGTTTTATTTGCAGTTTTAATCTGGTTTCTTTGAGTACTGCATCGGCGAAGTGAACTAGTTCGGTGATGGGTTCGAGATTCCCATCTCATCAGCTCAGCAATGGTCTGTATGTATCAGGCCGTCCTGAACAGCCGAAAGAAAAGGCTCCGACAATGAGCTCGGTTGCCATGCCTTATACGGGCGGTGACATCAAGAGGTCGGGGGAGTTAGGGAAAATGTTTGATATTCCTATGGATGGCTCTAAATCTAGAAAATCAGGTCCATTAAATAATGCTCCTATAAGGACGGGATCGTTTGGAGGCGCTGTTTCGCACTCCGGCCCGATTATGCAGAACGCGGCTGCTCGTTCTGCTTATGTCACATCAGGTAATCTATCTGCTGCAGGCATGTCTACTTCAGCCTCAATGAAAAGGACGAACTCTGGTCCGCTAAATAAACATGGGGAACCGGTCAAGAAGTCGTCTGGTCCTCAATCAGGTGGCGGTACACGCCAAAACTCTGGTCCAATACCTCCTGTTCTTCCAACAACCGGTCTGATTACATCTGGCCCACTAAACTCATCAGGGGCTCCAAGGAAGGTGTCTGGTCCATTAGAGTCTTTAGGGTCGATGAAAGCGCATAATGCTGCTGTAGTTCATAATCCAGCTGTGACTACTCTCAGTGTGGACGATGAATATTCCTTCAAAAAGAACTTCCCTAAGCCAATATTGTGGTCCGTCATTCTGATTTTTGTTATGGGATTCATTGCTGGTGGCTTTATTCTCGGAGCTGTCCACAATGCTATATTGCTTATTGTTGTAGTAATTCTTTTTGGTGCGGTCGCGGCATTGTTCACTTGGAATAGTTGTCGGGGAAGAAAAGCTATTGTTGGTTTCATTTCTCAATATCCAGATGCCGAGCTTAGAACTGCCAAGAATGGACAGTTTGTGAAGGTTTCTGGGGTATGTAATTTAGTATTGACGCATACGGGTATAGTACGATTAATTAAGCATATGTAATATATGCATAAACCATTGATATATTTTATAACTTTTGAAGGTGGTTACTTGCGGCAATGTTCCATTAGAGTCCTCTTTTCAAAAAGTTCCAAGATGTGTATATACATCCACTAGCTTGTATGAGTATAGAGGATGGGATTCCAAAGCAGCTAACGCAAAACATCGCCGTTTTACTTGGGGACTCCGTTCGACAGAGGTAAGCAATAATCAGTTCTATTTTTTCTTTTTAGATTGCTAAGTTTTATTTGAGTTTGATAAAATATTGTGACGTCTTGAAATACTTTGGCGATGGAGGTGAATTATATCTTTTTCTATTTGATTGAATGTACCTTGCATATGTGAATAGTTTACACCAATCTTGACTTTGGCTATCAATAACATTCTATTATTAGGTAGTATATCAGCGTGCCCGATGTTACGTTAGTATTGTAGTTGTTCCTTTATGGAAAGTCTTGGATTCAAATCGTTACGTTAGTATTGTAGTTGTTCCTTTATGGAAAGTCTTGGATTCAAATCTCGCTTAACGTGGACTAGACAGGCCTGTATCAGGATGCAAACTGTGTATTTATAGGACTTTTGCTGATTAATATATGAAATTTGCAGCTCTTTTTAAATTTTTCCTTTCATTTTTATTCAATGCAGAGGCATGTGGTGGATTTTTACATCTCTGATTTCCAATCCGGATTGAGAGCATTGGTTAAAACAGGCTTTGGTGCAAGGGTGACTCCTTATGTTGACGATTCCGTTGTAATTGATGTAAATCCAGAGAATAAAGACATGTCCCCCGATTTCCTACGATGGTTGGGGAAGAGAAACCTTTCAAGCGATGATCGTGTCATGCAATTAAAAGAAGGGTAAAATACTTTCTCCTCACATAAACACTTATGAAAACAATAATTTATTATCATGATTAAGTTGTTTATCCAAACAAGTCCAAGAAAATGACTTTCTTATGAAAGTGTTGGCGATGACGTTGTTGCAGGTACATAAAAGAAGGTAGCACGGTTAGCGTAATGGGAGTTGTTCATAGAAACGACAACGTGCTTATGATTGTGCCTCCGCCAGAACCTTTAACAACGGGGTGCCAATGGGCGAAATGTATTTTTCCAGCCAGTCTGGAAGGAATTGTTTTGAGATGCGAGGATACATCGAAGATTGATGTGATTCCAGTGTAGAGTTATGTTTACTATTGTTGTATTGATGATGGGGTGGTGGTTTGTGTTTTGTGAAGCATATATGTGTTGTTGATCTTGCTTGCTACCATGAATTTCCTTTACTCCTCCTTAGTTTTGTTGTATAGCTAATGACCATTCTTATTCCTTTATTTTTCTCTTTAAGAATTTCAAACTTTTTGAATGGATATGATCATGATTTCTTATAGTCACAAAGTAAGTAATGTATATTCATTTCAACTTTATGTTTTCATCTCTTCATGGAATATATTATGTTTATTGCTCAATCCTTAAATAAGGTTCATCCACATTTTCATACCACCCTATTTAATATTTTATTATTATGTATCTTTTTTTAGGAAATTTTCTAATGGTGTTTGAGATGTCTCGCCACTCTACACTATTTCAAATTATCCATTGTATTTTTATTGATTTTGTAAAATTGATTTTGCTTAATTTTGAGTTAAAGTTAAATATTTATTTTTAAATACATTTAAAAAATAAGCTAAACAATAAATTTTAATATTAAAATGTTATTTTGACTCAAACTACAAATCTTACTTGTAAGTGTGCTTGGAATAAAAAAAATGTTTCTGGTGCAACTTATAGGGGATATGCCTACTAAGTTAACATTTAAACGTTTTAGTCGGTGAGATAATTGTCTTGTAAGTCTTTGTCTCTGTTTTGTAGGACGACAATTGACCATGTATATCCTTAGATTGGATCTAGCAAGATCAGGTGAAGAATCTTTATGGGACACCACTTTCGTTGAGAACGAGCGCATTAAATATCGTTTCTGTAATGCATAACATTTTGTAAGGAGCTTTTGACGCAAGTCCCTACACTAGTCACTAATGATACTTTTTTCTATCTTAGAAAATTTAAATACCTTAAATAATTCTTGAGAAGATTCTGACTGTTGATGGTGTGGTTTGATCTTTTCAATATAATGAGTCATACGGCCTTCTATGGCTGAGGCACATATAAAGAGTTCATGAAGTATTGTTTTTCCTTTTTTCGCCACTTGCGAATTGTAGAAGCTATTCCTTTTATGTATCATCAACTTTCCCCTTTCTTGCGAGCTCTTTTACACTAATCTTCTAATTGCGGTTGTCTGTGAAATTTGGTTTGGTGGTACCTGCGACATGTAAACGATCAAATTGTAAAACATGTATTTTCCTTTTTTTTCTTTCTATTTCTGCTTGTTTTATTAAGATTTTTAGAAAGTAGGTTTATAGGGTTTGAAGGAGATACTCTCACCGTTGGCGATTCATCAGATGACTAGCTACCAAGAGAGTGTGAGCCCATAATTTCACTACACGGTTTGTTGCCTTTAACAATGTGTTTGCATTATGTGGTTTTGATTTCTTTGATCGTACGCTCGAAGCATTTGCAACAACACCCAGGAGTTGTTTGTCGCGTGGTTTAGATTCCTTTGGTTCTTTACCCCATATATTTTACTATCCTTTTACGTCAAATTAGAGAATGAAAGAGGCTGAGAAGTATAAAGAATAACAACAATCACCTTGAAATTTTCCTCTCGTAAAGACTCCTGATAGACACCATAGATTTCATAAAAGATAGTAGAGCAATTAAAAACTATTCAAGAAATACCAAAGAAAGTATAAAACAAATTTATTCTCCTTACCAAAAAGGTCTCTCCTCTCCTCAGATTATCCTCCTCCAAGATTTTGGTGTTTGGTAAGCCCCACTTCTCCAAGATTTTTGTCCTCCTCAAAACTCAGATTATCCTAGAAGGTCACCAAATCTTCTTTCGACTACACTACACCACTTTTAGAGTTAGTTTGTCATTAGAGACAACATAACTAAGTGACTCTATGTTTAAATGGTACCATGTCCAATATTTATTGATCTTCCCATGCCCTTGGAAGATGAGGAGGAGACTGATCCACTAGTAGAGGAATAATCTCCACTGGGAATCTTACGGAAAATGGAGTGAGCTTCCAAAGTCAAAGGAGTTACCATAATAAAGTGGTCTTTCAAACTCTTCGAGTTGTCCATGTAAATGTCAAACATTCTAATTGATTGGCGAAACGAAAGCATTCCTTGCCCATAAACAAGATCGTTGGAAGTACGAGCTATAAATAATAAATTGAAGAAAAGGTCAAGAGACAACATATTTTCTTGATACTCGCACCAATACTAAAACACCTTGGTAAAAGCCCATGCAAATAAGTGCACATAAGAAGGAGCAATGTTCAAGTAATTCAACAATTCTTATTTTAACCCACTAAAGGGAAACTTGAGCTTCAGTTTGGTGAATAAACACTCGTAGAAGGAAACATAACATCTATAAAATGAGCTAGAAATCATCTTGCCGACATCAATATGTGAGACAACCAATCAAAAGAATGACTCAGTTCTCTTTGAACCTCCTCCATTTTTTCTGCACTATCAAAAATAGAAATTATTTCCACTAACTCAAGATCTACCTAATGGTAGAACCTAATATCAAGTGGCAACACCAAATCTGCACATCCCATTTTACCATTTCTTCTCATTTGTCATGTAAGGTAAGATGATCCTTAAGTTTTACATCATTAGAGTCATGACCATGCGTCACCCTAAAATAATTGTTGAACAAGATAACTCTTTGTTATAGGACTAGAGGGAGGAGACAAGACATACAACTGCTTCCATATATGCCAAATTAAGGTAGTTCCCCTCTCCATCCCCTTCAGAAGAACTAAGAAGTTATATCCCTTTTCAATAGAGCTTCCTCCAGACTCGGAACTATCACTAAGTATAATAAAATTGACATTAGGATAATTGATTTCTAGAGGTTTAACATGTGGGATGTAAGGATTCTCATAAAGTGTTGATACTGGATAACACCCTATCATCTTCATTTATATTCTCAAACATATCTTTTAAGTTATCCACAATAAATGTTAAAAGAGATAAACAACAAATGAAAGAGAAAATGTTAGAAAGTGATACTTGAGCAAGAAGTTGAAGCGAAAAAAACTATTTAAAGTAGAATAAATATTAGAATGTGAATGCATTAACAAGGAAAAAAGATGACAAAAAACAGGAATCACCAAAATGTTAAAGATGAGGAAGAAAAAAAGGTTACATGATGCTAAGGTCAAGTATGAGAGAGAGAGAGAGAGCAGAAAGTTGTTTGAAAAACTAAACCAACCCTTATATAGTGAAATAAATAAAACAAGTTAACGTTGCAAAGTGAAAGTAAATGGAAGGTGAAAACTCAAAGGTCCAAATGATCTCTTAAAATGTAATAGCACTTGAGTGCACTTGATCTCCTAATTTATAAACCTAGATCCACGTGTAAAGAAACATGTGAAACATCTCAATAATAAGATATAAAATTAGTGAACATGACTCCATGCTTTTTCCACTCTTTAATAATGGACCAAAGCTAGATGTACTCGATCCAACTCTTTGGAAAACTTCACATGGACCATATCATAACAAATATTGGAGACAACTATTTTGGACTAATCTCGAATCCAATGCAAAATGATCCAATTTCATCCACTACATAAATATTATTATTTGAACAGATAAAGATATAAATTTAATTTATAATTCACTCTATTTCCATTATTTAAAATCAATTTAGATGTTAGAATGTTAATCTTTTACACAACTGCTTCAAAACTATATTCATCATCGCATCGAAAATTAGAATAAGTAAGGTTCTACTACATACATGTGCCTTCCTTCAACTATTAAAAAATGAGTGTTCCAAGCTGATTCACATATAATTAATATCTTTTTGTTGACGTGCCTATAAACTTTAGAGTAGAGAAATGGAGAAGTAATACAAAAATGCCACGTGTCCTGTGTGTGGTGCAAGTGTCCAACATCATAGCCTACCGAATTAAGTACTTATACTTAAATAACAGTAATGGTGGATGAGAATAAACTAGATGGTAATGGATAAAAAGCGTGGCACAAGTGTTGTTGTTTTGGCGTTGTTGGTGTTAGGATTGTTCACCTTCTCTATAGCTTATGCCAATAGCAACAGAGTTTCTGATGATGATGATGAGAGCAAGAAATCATGTATTTGGGTATGGGAGAGGTTTAGAAGAGGTTATTCTATGTATTCATCAATTTTCCCTACAAGTGTTGGACAGTATTGGCATATGGTTAAGGCTATTTTAAACAACACTTATGCTTATTTCTTTCCTCCAAATATAGAGTAAGTAGCTACTACCTTCATGAATAATTTTATTTGTAGACTAAGTATGAATCAATTTTTGTGGCGTTTTTTGTTTTAAAGTTTCAGAAAAGGAGGTGAGGATCAAGCAGTTTCAGAGGCCTTTTCAAAAAGCATAGGAAGAAGCAAAGAAACTTTGGAGGAAGTTGCAAAATCAGCTGCAGAAAAGGTCAAGGGGAGTTTGTCTAGTGATAGGAAAGAAAACAAAGAGCTCTGAATCTATTTTTTTTTGTTTTTGTAAAGATGCTTTATCGTATGGTCTATGAAAAATCATGTAATGTTTTAGTAGAATGAGAAGATCAAGCATAATGGGATTTAGAATTTTGAAAGTTGAGCAATTAACAACAAAGAAGACAAGACAAGTCTGGGTGTATAAACAAAAAAAAACTAATAACAAAAGATAATCCATACCAAAATAATTAGTGTTTAATTCTAAATTAAAAATATTCCTTTGAGAATGTGAAGTGGTCTAAACCATTTCTAATTAAAAATTTAGATCTACCGTAATTTCATTAAATTATAAAAATTATTAATTTATTATACTTTTAATAAATTATAAAAATTATTTTACTATCATTAATTTATTATTATATTTTATTTTTTCATCTCCTAAAAAAATATTTTTTTTATATATACTTTTTTGTTTTTTTAAATTTTGTTTGAAGAAAATCTTTTCTATTTCATTCAAATTTTATTAGGCTTCATATTTAAAATTTTCAATACTTCATAGATCACTTCAACAATTTTACAGTCCAACCAATATGTTGTTATTTCTTTATTAAACTAGTATCTTCCGTTTTATTGATCTGTCGTCTGCTCTTTTATAATAACTCACAATTTCAATATATTTTATCTTTTTTGATTAAAAATGAAATGTATTCTTTTGGTGAATAAGAAGAAAATTAATGTAATTTAATTTTATTTTTAAATTAAAAGTGAATGGTATGAATATTATGTGATAGTAATTTTTTATCTTTTTAAAAGAAGTTAAAAATATTTTTTTTAAAAAGATCCATGAATATCTAAAGTTCGTGGATTACCTGTTTAACTGATATCTGCATGGATATAAAGCGGTTATGGTTATCATATTTATTCAACAAGACGGATACGAATATCATAATAATATCTCTGTTCCATAGATACTCATTTAAATCTCTAATGAACTAATGAGTTGCAAAAGTTGACAAATAAAATATGAATTTCAATGGTGTAGAAACATCAATCTTTATCTTTTAGAACTTAACACCCGTAAATGGTATCTTTAAATTCTGAATCCCTTTTTAAAATTGAGTTTTTGCCTTTATGCTAGGTTGTCAAATCGCACTACAGTCCTCACCAATCGTTGAATTAATATTGTAAGTTTCAAAAGAATAAATATAAATAAAATATTAATATAATTATACTGAATTTAATGAGTTTTTTTTTAAATTATACTATTACAATTAAAATTGAATTAATTGACATTATCTATAAAATAACCCAACAATGAATTGCATCGTTGAGGATAATCTTAACCCCTCTTTAGTCCTTTTAGATTTATAGATGTAAGGCATGTGGCAAATAATATTTTAAAGGTTGAATTTAAAATTGATATATTTAATAAAAATAAAGAGAGAGAAAAAAATCACTTCTCTTCCCTCACTTTCCTCCTTTTAACTCTGAAATAAATTTTTTGTTTCAACTTCTCTTTTTATCTCATCTCTATACCATATTTCTCCCTCTTCATTTCTTTTACCTTTTCTTTTTATTTTATCTCTACTGCCATAATTTATAAATTATCATAATCTTATTATCAAAAATTATAGATTATTGTTATTATATCTTTTCTGTTGAAATTTATATGTTATCGTAATGCTGATATCTGGCGGTATCAGTCATTGTCCTATCTTTGATAACAATTTAACTCAATTCAACTCCATAAATTTATTGTTCTAATCGGTGTTAGAGTAACAAAATCTTTGCCAGAATGCAGCATCGTCGTTCAACTCCGTAAATTTATTGCCGTAATCCGCATTAGAATAACAAAATTGCCGTCAGAATTTGACAGAAATCAGCGTTGCTGACAAACCGCTATGCCTTCGTAAAGTTTTTGTCGTAATTAGCATTACAGTAACAACATCGCCGCTGGAATTTAACAAAAATCAACAATATCGACAATACAGCTTCACCTTCATAAATTTGTAGATGTAATCAGTGTTACAATAACAACATCGCCGCCAGAATTTGACAAAAATCAACATTCCTAGCAATACAACTTCCCCTTTGTAAATTTGTTGCTGTAATCAACATTACATTAACAAACATCACCACTGAAATTTGACAAAAATTAACGATGCCGACAATATAGCTTCGTCTCCAAAATTTGACAAAAATCATAGCGTTGCCATTACTCTAATTCGACATAAGTCGCATCATTAAAGTAATAATGAAGATTTTTCTTTACTTCTTAATTATATATTTCATTTGGAACAAAGAGATTTTTTAAAATAATAGAGTTGAATTTTAATAAAAGAAAGGAAGAATTACTTATATTTTAGCCAACATAAAAACAAATATGCCAAAAACACAAAAATATTAGTATGGAAGTCTAACAAATACATCAAAATACTTAGACATTATGTCTAAAAGAAGTTGTGAAATCTCAATGTATTAATTTGACTTGATTGTGTCGTTTGGATAGTAGCTCAATGTTGAGTTTCATTCTCAATTTAACTGGATTGTGTTACTTGAAAGTTAGCTTGATATTGAATTTCATTGTCAATTTGAATCGATTGGATTGATGTTTGTTGCTGCATAATAATAAAATAAAATAAATAAATAGATGATAAAATTAAAAAAGTTTAATAAACTAATAACAAATACTTACCGGCAACGATTGTAATAAATTTTCTTGAGAGCTCATTCTCTTTTTTTGAGTATCTCTTTGACTTTCTAGCTAACTTCTCAACCCAAAACTTATCTAGTTTTTTGTTATTACGTGAACCATCTCGCTTCTTTATGCCTTTTGCCATACCAACCGTGTCCACGTTATCAACCTTATCATTTGTAATTGATATAAATACATGAACCATTCCACTTGATTCTCCATTCACATATTTTTTTGCTAACATATCATCAACTATTTTGCTCGACTCTTCATACACTTTGGACAAAAACGTATAAGTTTCATAAGATTCTAAAGCTCTGTTGATCAATTTGATTATTCGAGGACATAACTCATTGTATCGCTTCATGAAATTTGCTTTCATGTCTAATTCAACATGTCTTCCATCTCAATCTTGATTACTTCTCAACCTTGCACCTCTTGTCCATCTCTTGAGTATATAGTGTTCCAGAATTACTTTTATGTTCATGACATCTAAAACTTTTAAAGCTTGACTACATAAGATGCCACGTGTCTCAAATTTACAACAAACACAAGAAACTTTTTGTTCCGTAGAATCTTCTATTACTATCCTCTCTTTTGTATTATCATAATTTATGACAACATACACACCTCCTTTCAAATCCTTTATGCAAGTGTCTTGATTTTATTCCAATACTTTGTTGGTTTTATTCCATACTTTGTTCATGAATATTGTTCACTCATTTATCAAACACAATTTAGAATTGGTGACATATTCATATTTTCTGAAAAAGTATATTCATGATGATGTTTGTAAAACAATAAAATTAGAATAAATGTAACAAATTAAGAAAATTTTCTGAAGGAATAACAACAACATATCTAAATTAATGAAATGTTTTTGTCTCAATTCTTCTTTTTTTTAAAGTTCTGTTATTGAGTAAAGAAAAAAGCTCTGTTATGAGAAGTAGTTAATGCAAGTTGTAATTTTGTTTGGCAACTCAGATCTACAAAGCTTTTGAATAATCTTGCACTTTGGCTTCTTGCGTGTGCAGCAATTATTTGTTAATTCTATTATTATTTTTCTATATAACAGGCAAGGATTCTCTTTTTCATTTTAATAAGCTTGAATTCATTTATTTATTTTAAATAAAAAAGGTTGAATGATGGGTCCTCTATTATAAAATTATATATGTATATTGAAAAATAGCTGTAATACTAATTTTTTTTATCACTTTTCAATAATTCTTCACATTTAACAATATAGTAGAAGAAATAAAACACATTGATATTTCTTAATTATAAATTTAATAATAAGTTTTATAGCAAATGACAAATACATGTGAAAATTTAAGTATGCTCATATATTATTAAAAGATTACAAACAAAAAAAATTTTAATAATTAAAAACAAAAGAGTTGCAAGCACTATGACTTTGATATATTAAAATATAAATTTAAATTGACAATGTAAATTTTAAAGATTAAATATATTTATGATCCTCTTAAATATTTTACTTTTAATTCTTCTTAAAAAAGTTTTAAAGAATAATTTTAATAAAAAAATTTATCCACACATTTGATCCTTCATATTAAAAATGTTGTTAAAATTGTCATTAATTTAATTGTTAAATAGAAAATCGTTGTTAAATTATAAAAATAATAAAAGACGTGAATGAAAAGTTTTAAATGGGTCATTGTTTAAAGAAATTTTTATAAAAAATTAAAAGTTAAATATAACATATTTATAAGAACCTTTTTAAAACCCGTTTTTTTAATATTTAATGTGGATGTAAAACTGTGAATGTAAAATTGCAGAAGCCATATTATATTTGGTGATATTTGTAAAGTTAGTCTCTTCTAGTAAATTGTTTTTTTTAATAAATCTATATGTCTCTAACATAAGTGTCATTTTTACTTTTTATTTCATAATTATAGTTTTTAATCAATATTTTTAATAATTTATAATGATTATCTTTTGTATTGATATATTTACAAAGGAGTCACAAATGGTGATATGAGAAGGAAAATAATATTATGTAGGCCGCATGTTGACGACTCATTTATTAGATTAATTTGTATACTAAAAATAATATCTATTTCTCGAATATATTGCCTATTATTGGACTAACTCGCCCTTAACGTAGGATTGTAGGAAGTGACATGTCTTAAGTCACAACGACAAAGAGAAGGAGTCAGAGAAAAGTTAATCACCATCTCTTGAATAATAGGTGATTAACTACCTCGTCCTCTGCTCCTAAGGTGCACATGTTACTTCTTAAGAATCTGAAATTTAGGCTTAGAAACTCTTATAAATAAGAGCGTTAAGTGGTTTGGGAAAACCCGAACCAAATCGAAATCCAAACCAAACTAATGTGTTTGAGTTGGACATTTTTTTCACTTTGAGCAAAAATCGAATCAAATCAATTAAAATCGATGATAATTAGTTCGGATAACAGATTTTTAATTTGTTATTCGTAAACCCGAACCAAACCAATAACAATCAACATAATTAATTTATATAATCAATTATTAATTTTAATTGAATTATTACAAGTACAAACAAAAGAAATAAAGAGCCATAGTCTAGTCTCTAGACATTTCTAATGAAAAATGAAAATAGTGAAGAAATGCAATTACCAAACTTGTATTCTTTGCATACCTATACTTGAAACGTGATTTTTCCACAGAGAAAATAGACACTTGTTCTGGCCAATATCCTCCAACATAGAAAATGAAATTCAAGTTGCGTAACATAATTTATAGTCGTCGCTGAGTCCTAGTTCCTTTCTCTCTCTCTCACTCCCACTCACACTCACAAACAAGTCAAGAACTGTGAAGAAGAAGCAGATCGAAAATGGCGGAATCGAAGAAGAACGATATCGTACATTCACCGCTCGTCACCTATGCTTCCATGATTTCTCTCCTCACGCTTTGTCCTCCTTTCGTAATTCTACTGTAAGTACTGTTTAATTGATTAATTAATCCCTAATTGAATCTCTAATTTTCAATTTTGAATCAGATCTAATTTGGAATTGAATTATGCATGTAGATGGTATACAATGACGGTTGCGGATGGATCAGTTTTGAACACTTTCGATTACTTTAGGAATAACGGTTTTCAAGGTTTTGTTGATTTATGGCCTAAGCCTACTCTTCTCGCTTGCGAAATTATAGCTGTTTATGGTGTTTTTGAAGCCGCACTTCAGCTTCTTCTTCCTGGTGAAACTGTTTACGGCCCTATTTCTCCCACTGGCAATCGACCTGTTTATAAGGTCTGTTTCTCTTTGTCTTTCTTGTTGTTACTTTTTTCTTAAATTATGATAATAACTTACGTTTTTTTGTTGCATTTCTTCAGGCAAATGGTGTTGCTGCGTATTTAGTCACCTTGGTTACTTATGTTGCTCTTTGGTGGTGAGTTACTCACCTTTCTCTACTGTTACTTTCATAATTTCTTCTAGTAATTCATTGAGAGGAGAAAAGTAATGAGGAATATATCATCTCATTCATGCATTTGTTACACTGACATTACGTATTGATGGTGTATGGTGTCCCTTGTCAACTGTGTGGTGGTCGGACACGGACATACGTGATGATATGTCAGTGTTGTATCCGATGTTTCTGTTTTATAGTTCATGATTGCCAATGGATTTGATTTTTCATTTCATTTTGGATGTTGTGTTTTTCTTATAAAATTGGCATAGGAGATCTCAACACTTAATTTTTAGATTTTCTAGGAATGAAGCTTTGTATGACTTCCTATGTAGTGCTGACACTTTAGGTTAAAGCTGTGTCCAAGTCCAACTCTAACACGATAGTGACACATGCAATTTACATACAAATTTCTATTTTATCAAATTATTACTTGTGTTGGCGTCAGTGTCCTATTTGGTGTTTATGTATGTGTCAACGTTTCACGGATGACAACTGTTTGATATATTTGGTAAAACTAAAACAGAAATATCTTTGTTCATTGCTAGTCTCCTCAATAGGGGTTATTCTTTTGAATTTCACGGTTTTATGAAGGTAAGTTCCTATGCTTTTAAAGGTATAAAAATATTCTAAAAAACTAAGCCAAAGTTGCTGTAATTGTTCTTTTGTGAGAAAACTATGTTACATATTAGCTTTTCCAATCAAGAGGTTTGCTTTAATTTTTTCTGCAGCAGACGACACATAATTTTTGCCTCTATTTTCAGGTTTGGGATATTCAACCCAACAATCGTTTATGATCATTTGGGAGAGATATATTCAACACTCATCTTTGGGAGCTTAATCTTTTGTGTTTTCTTATACATAAAAGTGAGACTCTTGTGAAATAGAAGAAACTATAAGTTACTTGTTTCCTGTGCAATTTACAGTGAAATTTCTGACTCAAGTGTTATATTTGATAGGGTCATTTGGCACCATCTTCTACTGATTCTGGCTCATCTGGGAACATAATCATTGATTTTTACTGGGTAAACTAATCTCTGTTTTTTTTACTTTGATTAAACTGTTTAATCAAATCTGTATCTTCTTAGATGTCCATTTATTTGCATTGGAAATTTACATGGGTTGAAGAATGAGAAAGTGAATGATGAAAAAATTAAAATGAAATTGAGTGGTAGCATGATAAATCTCCCTTGTCTGATAGTTGGTGTCACTTTTAGAGGATCCTTGGTGCAACAAATCTTTCTTTAAAATTACCTCTTCTCTCGTTCTAAATCAAGAAGGCACGAGAATGTGTGTGAAATTCTTTTAAAATTACCAATCCTCTTGTTTAATCTGGTTTCACCGAATTTCCGTTCATGATGTCACTACGTAAAATATGAAATTGTTGTAGAAATGTTCCAATGTTTTATGGTTGAAAATTTCATTTTAACCATATTAGAAGAATTTGCTAGAAAAAGTAAACTCATTTTTGGGTAATGTTTTAACACGCATAACATGCCTGGACATGTGGAGCTTAATTCCACCATTTCCATAAATGATTGCCTTCTAACTTTGCCATTCTTGCAGGGGATGGAGCTATATCCACGCATTGGAAAATATTTTGACATAAAAGTTTTCACAAACTGCAGATTTGGAATGATGTCATGGGCTGTTCTTGCACTTACCTATTGCATAAAGCAGGTTGAGTCTCAAAGGCTTTATTATTTGTATGTATTTAGCTTACATAGATGAATAATCCTTTAATTACCTATTTGTAGTTGATAATTCGTTGTAGAAACAGCTTGAACCAAGGGACCTTGGTGGTTAGGTGACCAAGCAAGCTCTATAGAAGCTTAGGCCATAAACTTTTGGATTTTTTTTTGTCTTCTGATAAGATATAATTTATGATATGGATTTAAATCTTGTTTATATGTGGTTGGACTTCCTTAGTTGCTGTGGGTATAATGGCTAGGTGGTACTGGCTAATTACCTCCATGAGCACGATGTTAATTGTATATGAATAGGAACATAAATTTATTTTGTTATTTTGTCTTGTGAAGTTTTCACCACTCAGTTAATTTTCTTATGTTTATCCTTGTCTCAATAGTATGAAGAAAATGGGAAAGTAGCTGACTCAATGCTTGTAAGTACTACACTGATGCTGGTGTATGTAACCAAGTTTTTCTGGTGGGAAGCTGGATACTGGAACACAATGGATATTGCACATGATCGAGGTTTGCACATGCTTCATTATTTTTTTTGTTGACCTACTTGCTCTTCCCTGTCATTCAGCTGTTATGCTTTCTTGACCTCATTAATTTTCATAGTTTATTTAGATCATACCTTCCATGACAGCTGGATTTCATATATTATGTTCAAATTAGTATTCACATGTTAGTGCTAAATTCATTGTATTCAAACTTCTTTATTGTCTCATTAAATCTTAAAACCCCTAAATCTGGCAGCTGGATTTTATATTTGCTGGGGCTGTTTGGTTTGGGTTCCATCTGTGTATACATCTCCTGGAATGTACCTTGTCAACCATCCAGTAAATCTTGGCACCCAGGTACCATCCCCTTCCTGTTTGTGTCTTTGCTCTGTGGTAGTATACAGTTAGGGAACAATAGAAAAAGATAGGGCTGAGTTGTTCAAGTGGTTTTGCCAGAAGACTTTTCCTTATTTTTAATATATACTTTTTCAACCATTTCCCATTTTTAATGAATATTATCTTCCTTGTCTTGTAGCTAGCACTCTTTATTTTAGTGTCCGGCATTCTGTGCATATACATCAACTATGATTGTGACAGGCAAAGGCAAGAGTTTCGTAGAACAAACGGAAAAGGCTTGGTCTGGGGAAGAGCTCCGTCAAAGGTAAATATGCCTTGAATATAGTATATTACCATTTTCTAATGGAATGTACTTTCTATTTTCTATGTAATACAAGGTCAGATTGGGAATAACTTACATAAAAAATTGACGTAAGACTTACATAATTCATTCATATTGAAACTGTACTTGCAGATAGAGGCCTCATATACTACTACTTCCGGGGAAACAAAAAAAAGCCTTCTTTTAACATCTGGATGGTAAGTTTCTCTTAAATTAAAACATTTTTTGAAGCATATTAAACAACTTACGTACAAGCGAAGTTTTTATAATGATTGGGGTAGTATGATGATTACCAAAAGACCAACACCCGTGTTCCTTTGTTGGGTAGTGTAAGCTCTCCATTTGTTACAGTTGGTTTAAGCTCTAGGTTATATTTAGTATCATAATATATATCTTGGATTTTGATATTTGATGTATCCTTTCTTAGGAAACATGTTGTCTCAGAAAATAACCAGCTCATTTTTTCTGTGCTACCTGCAGGTGGGGGTTAGCTCGTCATTTTCATTATGTCCCTGAAATACTAGCTGCATTCTTCTGGACAGTCCCAGCTCTTTTCAGTCATGTAATAAGAGTGTTTATTTCTCCGTACAAGATGATAGTTGTAGAGAATCATAAAGCTTAACTGCTTTTTTCCTGTGCAGTTTTTGCCTTACTTCTATGTGATATTTCTCACCATCCTTCTTTTTGATCGAGCGAAGAGGGACGATGATCGATGCAGATCCAAGTAAGCATTCTGCTATATCTAATAGTGTTACTTCTTGGACGTTTTCTTTTCAGCGTGCATAGACTAGCCATAGACGCTCTTTTTGTCATCATTCTATTCTTACAAACAATTTGCTTATGAGTCGTGATTTTAACTGCATGTTTGGATTTATGGTGTGGTTGGCTTCTAAATTTCAGTAACACCCGAGATTTGGTTAAAACATCAAAATTTAGTTTTTGTCAAAGCCACCACATTGTAATTTTGCAAAACTAATCCAAAATTGAACTAGTCTAGGACGCCCACAATTCGCCTGGTTATGAAGAATACAATTCATAATGTTAGTGTACTCTTCACATTACAAATAGATTAGTAAATTTCATGGTCGAGCAGTTGAAAATTTGCATTGCTGCATGCAGGTATGGAAAGTACTGGAAACTCTATTGTGACAGGGTACCTTACAGAATCATTCCAGGAATATATTGAATAATGATTATGGAAGATGACTTATCTGGAATCCTTCAATTAGTGCCATGTACCTTTGTTGTTTAATGCCTCTGATTGGTGCACTTAAGATGCAATGGTAGACTATAGTTGTAAGAAATAATTCAGTAGTTACGAAACTCTCTTTTGTTAGACAGAGACTTGGTTCTAGAGCTGTTTATCAATAATGTCAAACGACTCCTTCTGGCTGCTTCTGATATTTCATTTTAGAGAATAGAGTAATAGTTTTGCTTCTTATGAATAAGAATCCTCCCATTGAATCCTCGTATCTAAATGATCCAGTGATTCAATTGGTTTTGCATTAATCCATTCGTGAATTAAGAACAATGATTGAGTAAACCTTCAAGAATATAATTCTTTTTCCAGTATGAGTATAATATATTTAATCAATAAAATTTTGATATAGCACTTTTATTGTGAAAAGGAGAATATGAGAGGATTCAAACACCAAAAAGATATAATGTTTGAGTAACAACTAATACTAAATAACTTCAAACACTAATAATCTACCAAGTAATATAAGCAAACCATAACAATAAGAATAAGATACAAGGAGAGAATTAACAAATAAAATTGTACTTTTTTAGTCCGAAGAGAATACTAATTTGTTGAGGCAGTTTTTCCGTTGTCCTCGATCGAGATACGTCTGTCCTTAATTTTAAAAATAGAATTGAGACTTGTATATATTACCGGTTGCAAATTGTTTTTACGAGAGAAGCAATAGAATTCAAACACTTAATCTCAAGCGTTGATGTTGGGTCTATGCCTTCTCTTCCCTTGATTCAAGATGAATCTGGTCCTTCGAATGTGATGAGTAAACTTCCGATTATGACACCACCTTTGAATAATCCCCTTTTAAATCTTTTTCGACTTATTTCAAACACCAACAATTCGAACCCAAACCTTCCTTCCACAATCCTCTGATTAACGCTACTAAATTGACAGAACCTCTCGTTCTTCAATTATCTGTCGAGGTCTGAATCTGTGAAGGAACGATTTGTGCAAAACCGCCAAAATTCAAGATTCTTGGAGGACAAAATCCTAAAGGTTTTATTCAAGAAAAACCCACTGATTTCTCAACCCAAATCCGATACACCGATCCTAAGTTTGGACGTTATCACCTCGATGATGCAAAATGCACACAAAAAATGATTATGTGTAGTTGTTGAGAAAATGCAAAAAAGAGGATTAAGATGATGAGAACCAAATCAGTGTATGTTTTCACTTTTCTTGTTGTCTTGTGTAGAATGAGTTATCTCAATATATATATATATATATATATATATATATATATATATATATATATATATATATATATATATATATATATATATATATATATATATATATATATATATATATATATATATATATATATATATATATATATATATATATATATATATATATATATATATATATATATATATATATATATATATATATATTGAGATAACAAACATCTTTTGAAAGGTAAACATAACAGCTTTTGAAAGGTAAACATAACAGAAAACTTATGAGAAACGAGCGAGCGGTCGACCTAAAACAAGGGGGGATCGACCTGAGCTCTCTCGAATTTAGGATTATGCAGAAAAAGCTCTTTGCGTCGACCGGAACAGGTTCATGCGTCGACGCGAAGCACCCTAACTTTGACAAATACAAATGCAGACAGTATGAGTCGACCGGAGGGTCAAAGTGAGCTCTTCTGAGAACAAAACATGAAAATTAACTTCTGCATGAGTCGATCTAAGCAAGCTATGAGTTGACTCAAAGACTCGGGTCTTAAAAAAATGCAGATTTTGATATGTTTGGCTACTTCTAAGTGTTCCTAATGCATCTCTAACTCGACCAACATGATCAAACTCATATAAAATACATATAATGTTTTTCCTATATGAACAAATACACATTTTGACAAATGTTTGATACTAGAAAGATGACGTATGCATATGCGACTCGATAATATCGTCCAAAGTACTTTTTTTAACGATATATGTTTTGACATCATTAAAACAAATATAATCAAGTATGAGATATTTTGCCCTCACACTTGCATTTATCAAATACAAAGTTGAGCAACCCATGGAACCCCTATTTCCTTCCTTATAGATCGTAGCTTGAAAATATCTATGTATGTGAAGTTGTGCTTGGCGGTTCCGGTGGGGGCCAGAGTTCGATGACAACTGCTTGGATTATTTGGATCTCGTTAGTCACCACATGATGGCTCCAGCGACTGAGGTGGCTAAAAACTAAACACATGTTTTTTTAGTTTTTGCTTCTCATTCATTCTTTCATTAAATATTACTTTTGTTTCTCATTTTTCAGTAATTGTTTTTATCATTGTATCAACAATCTCTTTGGAGTCGGATTCTAATTTTATATAACCTTTTTCTTATCGTTGAACATCGAAATCCATCTCTTCTAACTTTGCCTCATTGTGTGTTTCTGACACCTTCCACAGTTTCAATTTTGATTCTTGATTTTGCACCATTTGTGCTCCAAATTCATTAATCAAAGTCATAGAAAATGAATTCCACTCAACATCTTGGATCTCTTCACACTAATAATAAAACCATTGCATCGCTCTTTAATCTCCCATTGCTCATGAATGCTCATTGTAACTTATCCTCATTATTAATTTTGTTATTCTTAAAGAACTTTTCAATCGCAGAGATCCAACCAACAGGATTTGTCCCCATAAAATCTGGTAATTCCCTTTTCATAGTCCAAACGTATTCATTGTTGGCTCACCGTGTAGTTATCTAACAATTTCCAATTGTTATCCGACAGTTTTTCGAAAGCTTTAGACAGTTATTTGTAGTTTTCAACAATTCTCGTTAATTATCCAGTAGCTCTCGACAATTATTTAGTAGTTTATGGAAGTTTCCGACAATTATTTGGTAGTTTTTGAGAGTTTCCATCCGTTTGTTTTTGACAATTATCCAATAGTTTTTGGTAGTTTCCAATAGTCCGTTTTCGGCACTTATCCAGTAGTTTTTGATAATTTTCAACAGTATGTTTTTTACAATTATCTAATAGGTCGGACCAATATTAAAAACTCAAACTCAAGAGAAAAAGAAATTGCATTATTAATGGAAAAACAATAATTATTACAGAAGATGAATCCATGCAATCCTAAAGCTATCTTCCTCAAAGAAGAGATAATTCTCTCTCTGCTGAAACCATTATGGTTTCTAACTGAACAATTCGTCATTATGGTTTCTAACTGAACAATTCTTCACCCTTCTCTGTTGCTATCCCTACCCTTTATCTAACTATCATTCCCCTCTAATATAGCCACACCAAAATATAACTAATTTCACTATTTGACGCATTTTTTACCAGATACCTAACATAATGCTTGGAAGAAAGATAGGGAATAGACAGGTAAAACTTATAGAACAACCTTTATAAGCACAACTCGACCACCAATATACACATGCTTTTTATTTCAATTGAACAGTCTTCTCGACACTGCCTCAACCACATATTTCCAAACTCCCTTCTTCTGTAATTATCTACAATAGGAATACTCAGATTTTTTATAAGTAAAGTCCCGACTATACAGTTTAACACCTGCGCCACTTGTTCCAATCAATATTGCGAGATATTGACCCTCACTAATATACTTTTATGGAAATTTACCTTAAGACCATATATCAATTCGAATAACTGCATATTTGTCTTGATGCTCCTCATATTTTCCATCTTATTTTCACGATTAACGTGTCATCTGCGTATTGGATATGGGGCATGTTTATCTATGCTTTCCCAAACTGGTAAGGTCCAATTGAATTTCATTTGATATCATTACATTAAATGCTTCCATTACTATTAAAAGAAGGAAAAAAAAAAGGTTATAGTGGATCACCTTGCCTCAAGAGTTATAATTCTCGTAAGAATCATTCACAATCACAATCAAATTAAGTAGGTGAGTGGATCTTGAAAAGACCGATTGAGTAGTATGTGAGGGAATCTTGAAAAGACTGATGTGTGTTTAAGAATTAATGAAAATTAAAAAAACAGTGACCAAAACATTTCCTTTATTTCTCTTTTCTTTATTCATGTCACATCATCTCTCTTCCATTCTATCTAAAAATATTTCACTAACGAAAAATTCAAAAAAATTTTTTAAAAATTTCTAATTTTTTTTTCCAGAATATTTTCTTCTTCAAAATTCTTTAATTTAAAGAGTTTGTTTTTTATAAGATTTTTAAGATTTGTGAAGTAACTTTACTTTTTTTTTTTCCATATATGTAAGTTTCTTTATGAAAATAGTTTGATATCTCGTTTTTTAAGATTGGTCAAATCTAAAGAAGTTTACGGGAGATTAAGACTCAAAATGTCTTATTTTAAAGTTTCAAATCTTCTTCAAAGGAAATTTTTTTAAAGTGTTCTATTTTAACAATTTTCATATAAATATATCTTATTAGTTTTATCACTAATATTAAATATATGATTAAGAAATAAAATATAAAGTATAATAAATTATTATAACTAAAATAATGCATTCTCAAATTTGCATCATTTTAGTTAACAACAATTATTTGTGTTCAGCACAAAGAAATTATAAATAACCTATAGACTATTAGTAATAATTCATATTTTATTATATTATTTTCTTAAGCCCATAAGTTTGTTAGAGGGTATTTTAGTATTTTATCTTATTCTAGTAACCCTAGTTTTAGCTTATAAATAGGGTGACAATCATTGTAACTTTTAATCCTGTTTCTTCTGCCGTCATTCTCTTCAATAGAATATTTCCCTATTTTCATCATTTATTCTATCTTTGCACCAACAATTGGTATCAAAGCTCCGGTTCAGATTCATTGGGAAACACGGGAAACACGAGTGAACGTGAGGTCTTGTGTGTTTGATTTTGATTCTTAGATTCGTGTTGAATCTTGAACAAAATCTGATCAGAATTTTATTCTGTGGGTTGGGAAACACTGTGTGAGAAATCTGAGTGTATTGTGCAAAGT